TATTTAATCAATAATGAAGGAAAGAGAAAAATAAAGAAGGAAGGGTAGTTAGAAGAAAAAGTTAAGCTTGTTTTATACATAGAAGGTATTTTTATCAAACGTGGGTCGAGAATCTAGCAAAGGCTTAGACGTTTAGAAACTTCAAGGGATACTTACGAACATGTGTATGTGTGAGAACGTGCTAGCACGTAAGCGTATTATACATCCATACATATACATACACATACATACACATACATAGCAGGAGGAGCGTATTGACCGTCGAAATTGCCTTTGTTCTACTCTCTCTCTCTCTCTCTCTCTCTCTCTCTCTTTCTACCTTGTTCCACCTATCCATTCTCTCTCTCTTTCTCTTTCTATCAACTCTTTCACTCTAACTTAAAGAATCGTCTTGTTCCGTTTAAAAAAAGAAGGAAGAGGAAGAGGAATCACATAGACTTTTTCGGAGCACCTCGTGGAAAATACACGTAGATAAGATCGTCTTCCTGGGTTAACGAACGACCAATGGTATGTGTGTATGATGTGTTTAATAATCTTTCACGGTGTCGAATTATAGCAACTATAAATAAAAAAAAAAAAACATCATATACAGAATAAGATCAAAATTGTTTTCCCTCCTCTTCCATTCCCAAACCCCAGAGTCTGCCAAAATTTTGTGCAAAAAAAAATAAATCATGAAATTTAAACGAACAAACAGTTAATAAAACAATCGTTTTATAATTGATCATTAGGTAAATGTAAGTAGTATATTGTAAGTATACAATGGATACCAATTTGAACTCTATTAGAAATAAAAAGAAATTGTTATATAAAAAAAATGTGTATACAAATAAATTGTTAAAAGTTATATTCGTTAGAAAAGTGTATCAAATACATATATTTGATATGAAATAAATTTCTTATTGGGTTCAGTGTTTCTACAAACGAATATATTAGTAATATATTATAATTAAATCATAGTTAGAATAATTAAACATTATATACGTGTAAGTTCTTCGTGAAAATTGACTTTGAAAATAATATAAATTACGTCAACCCTTGTAATTCGAAAAGTATTATATCAAAGTTTTAAAAAAAAACAAAAAACAAAAAGAGAAAGAGAGAGAGAAGGAAATAGAAAAGGGGGAGAGAAGAGAAGGTGGAAAAAGAAAAGGAAGGATGAAGAATGTCGAGAGAAAGGGAAAGAAAGAACAGAAAGAAAGAACAGAAAGAACAGAAAGACAGATGGCGCGTTGTTCGGACCGATCCGTAGAACCATACAAGGACGAAACGATCGAATCTTCGTCGATTCGAAGGATCGAAAGAGAAGTGGACAACGGGGAGAAACAACACAACCCATAAGCAGTATTTTACCTTCCTACCACTATGATTCTACCATAAAGATTCTCGTCATTTATTTTTATTTGGAATAAAAATCGTATATCGTGCATATTTAACGAGTCCGATACAATTTGCTGAAGCGATAGATTGGAGAAGAAAATTAAAAAAAAAAAATAAATTAAAAAAAAAGAAGAAAAAAAACAGTGGGAGAGAAAGCAAAGAAAAGCACCAAACGTCACAAGTTGTTCTGCGAGAGTGTCAAGCTTCTCTGACTACACGTCGTCTATATATATATATACATATATTTGTACCCCTCCCAGTCCCCTTCTCCACTCCTTTTCCCTGTATTACCGGCTTCGAGAAACTGCTCGAGTTCCACGCACGCGGCACTCTTCTCCAGAGAGGCAAACGATTTTGTAGGTACTTACTTACTTACTGGGATGGCTAGTAGTGACGTGCACACGTATAGAGAGAGTAGAGAAGAAGAAGAAGACACATTATATATGGATACACATACACATGAGCACACATATAAATATATATATATACACTCACTCTTAGCGCACACGATCCACCGCGTGTGTGTGTACGTGTGTGTATTTGTCTGTCTATCTATCTCTCTCTCTCTCTTTCTTTCTCTCTTTTTCTCTTAATTTTTTTTAAGCAGCAACTTTATTATATTGTCTATCGCGATATACTAAATTTCATCAATATGTAATTTAATTAATTATTATATTGTTGTTGTTGTTGTTGTTTTTTGTATCATATATTAATAATTGATTTTAAACGTGTTTACCGCGCAACTAGAGACAAATTATTACCATAATGAAGGTAAATTATCGTCCGTTGTCTTTGCACTTTCGTTTTAAAACCGTCTCGAAAAAAGAAAGAGAAAAGAAAAACAATGAATAAAATATTAAAAAGGATTAGCTAGCAACGTGTTCTAAAAAAAAAAAAATAAAAGAAGATACGTACGCGTCCACGTCCACGTCGTAATCGTCATCGTCATCGTCATCGTAAGGATGCATACAACAACATGTGGGAAATGATCACGGTTGCATTTAAAAGGCAAACTCGACGCCTCGTTGGTCGTCGTCGTCGTCGTCGTCTTTGTCGTGTTGGTTGTCAAACGATGACAATCGCGGTACTGGTTGGTATTGGTGGTTGGTGGTGGTTGGTAGTTGGTGGTGGCGGTGGTGTAGTAGTAATGATAATAGTAGTAATAATAGTAGAAATATTAAAGGTGGTGTGCTCGAGAAGATAACGCACTAACACATAAAGAGCGCACTAGCAAAAGGATATATATATAAATATATATATGTATATAAATGTGAGAGGAATAACGACGACAAGGTAGGCGGAAAACCGGCGGTTTCTGAGTGTCCCGGGAAGGTGGACAACCGGCTGCTGGCTGGTGGTGGTGATCGCGTACCTTGCTGCTGCTGCTGCTGCTGCTGCCGCTGCCGCTGCTGCTGCTGTTGCCGCTGCCCGTACATCGGTAGTCGTGTGCGAATGTATGAGAGTTAGTTGCGCGCGCGCGCGCACCCGACCGTATTCTTTCTCTCTCTTTCTCTCTCTCCCTCTTTCTCTTACTCTTTCTCTCTTCCTCTTTTTTTCTATCCGATTTTTTTTCTTTCAAGCCTTTACTCCTAGCTCGCTCGCTCGCTTGGGTTGGTTGGTTTGCTTGCTTGCTTGCTTGCTTGACTGTCTACCTTATTTATTTCTTTATTTCTTTCTTTCTTTCTTGGTTGGTTGCTTGCTTGCTTTCTTTCTTTCTTTCTTTCTTTCTTTCCTTCCTTCCTTCCTTCTTCTTGTTCTCTTGAAAGAAGCTCAACCCGTCTCTTTCTGTGTCGCTAGCGCCGCGAAGAGCTCCCTCTCGCTCCGCGTGCGTCCGTCAGTAACCTACAAAGCTGTGGCGGCGGCCATTCAGGATTACGGGACTCTGTCCGCCTTCGTCCAAGCGAAAAAAAGAGAGAAGGAGAGAGAGAGAAAGAAAGATATATATATATATATGTATATATGAGTTAGAAGTTACATCCTTTTCCTTATTCTTCTTTTTCTTATTTTGATTTGTATTCTTTGTCGTACCAGTCACTTTGCTCCAACTCTTCTTTCCTCCTCCTTCTCTTCCTCCTCTTCTTCTTCTTCTTCTTCTAGTTGGACGATGAGTCCTCCTTGAAAGAACTCAAGACGCGATGGGTTCCTCTCGCCAGGCACACCGGCGACCTCGCCAAGCCGACTATACTTTTCTCTCTCTTTCTTTTTCTCCTCCCGTTGCACACTGGCAAAGATCCACGCACACACATGCACGAGATCCAATACGAGTGCTCAATCCACGCTAGCAAAAGCCAGTTCTCACTTCTTGCTTCGTTACTGCTTCTGCTACTACTACTACTTCTACTACTACTACTATTACTACTATTGGTTGTGGTGGTGGTGGTGCTGCTGTGGGTTTCTTGACGGCTGTTTTCTAACTTTTCAACTCTTTCCTTAGATTAAACTCTATTTTACCGTCCAACAGCAGCCAATATCACACAGAGATTATTGTAATACACGTATTTATACACACTCGCGTAACGCGAAATTACTCGTCCTTCTCAACTCTTTCTCTCTCTCTCTTCCTTTCTTTTTTTTTTTTTCTTTTCCTTTCTCCAATTTCCCTCCTTCTCCTATTTTTTGTCTTCTTTTCGTCGTCTCCTTTATACGAAGGGAGGAGACGACGATGTCGCGACACCCGTGTACGAGGAAAAGACACCCGTACTACTCTCGCCGCGACACCGACCGCTCTCACTGCTCGCTCACTACCTTCGAAAGAGCGCACCCTCCGATCAAACTAACCGAGAAAGAAAGACAGACTGAGAGAAAGAGAAAGAGAGAAAGAGAGAGGAAGAGAGAAAGAGAAAGACAGAACGTAACAGAGTACCTTCTGCGAGGTTACAAGCAAGAAAGAGAAACAGAAAGAGAGAAACGCGACCAGAAATTGAAAGACACTACTTACTAACTCATCGCGGCTTTATCGTTTAACCCCGACTAACACTTAAAAATGATAATTTACACTAAACCATTGACGACAACAATGACGACAAAGACGACAACGATGACGACAACGATGATCACTACGTTGACGACGACGACGACGACGACGACGAGGACGAGGACGAGAATGGGTGTGCGATCATATCCACTACAGCGGTCTCCCCACAATCTTATAATTTACCCTCGAAATTACGCGAATAGTATATTAAAATTATCCGCCTTTCCCTTATCACTTTTAAAATGTACGATATTTACCCATTTGTGACGGATTTTCCGCACAAGATGATCATCGACATTAACGACCCAGTCCCCCACCTATTACCACATACAGACATTACCACACTTCGATTTTTCAAAATGGCGGCGCGCCGTCGTTGGATACTAGACGCGGTCAGCGTCCGAAACTCTGGCGCTTTGATCGATGACTCGAGCTCGCCATTGGTCTTCTTTCGAATGTCGCGAATTTTCGAATTGAAATTTCCCCTTGGATACAATAATCTAATTGGATTAGAAATATTAATATTTATTTTCTGGAGACTATGTCCTGTTTTTCTGTAAATAAAGAGAAAGAGAAAGATAGAACGTTAATGTCACGAGGAATCTCTATCAGCGGATGGGAACAAGGAAAATCCACTGTACTCGATTTAATATTTTATGCGAATAATATTAAAGATATTCAAATACAATTTTATTTGATTCGATCTAACTAATTGAATGATACCTAAATATAAACTTAACTGCTAGTCGTATTCAGTTCAGATCAAAATAACTTGGTAACAATTTCTCATATATTTCTTTATCACTGTTTAGAAAGAGACAAAAGATTACTCGGTCCACCTGCAATTATAATAAAATTTTTAATATATTTATATCCTTGTATGCATTGAAGAGAGCTAGTTTCTTTAAACAATTAATTTTTTTTATTTTCATCGTATTTATCAAAAATGATGTAAGATTTGTTAAATATTCCTTACACTGTCTATATCATTAATAAGATAATTTGTAACTGTAGACAAAGCTACTCGGGCTGCTGCTTCTTGTGGGTAACCATAAACTCCTGTAGATATGCATGGGAATGCTATGGTTCTTAATCCATTTGCTTTCGCCAAATCGAGACAATTCTTATAGCATTGCTCCAATACCTCAGGTATCTTTCCTATTGGACCAACGGTATGAATGACATCTAAAATTTGTCTTCTGTAAATATCTCAATCAAAGGAGAAAAATGTTAAGCAAATCGATAAAATAAACGTATGTTACAAACATTTAGCTGGCAACATGTATCCTCCAGTGATTTTAGCTTCTCCGGCAGGGCACCTCCCTAGCGTGGCACATTCTGTTTTCAAATAAGGTCCAGCAGCTTTGTGAATAGCACCGTCGACTGAAGAACATTTAATATTCTCAAATATTACAAATAAAGTATGATCACACTTTTCGCTGAAACCCATTCTTTAATACCTCCTCCGCCAGGTATTAAGACCGAATTAGCTGCGTTGACAACTGCATCTACCTCGAGAGTGGTAATGTCTCCCATCCAAAAGGAAATCTTTTTGGCAACTTCCATGCCAGCCTTTGCATTTTGGTTCGAAGCTTTAACGCTTATAGTTGATTTATTTTTAGACCAATATTCTGCCCATGTTGGTATTTGATTCACGCTTTTTGTAGTTGATTTAATTAATTTTTTTTTTTCTTCTAACGACATACCCATGTATTTCACTAATTAAGTACATAAGAAAAATATATCATTTATGATGCTCTACTAAAACAATAGTACAAAAGGTTGACATATCTTGACTAATAAACTATATGAGAGAATGAATTTTATGCAAAGACAAATAGTGATAAAAATATTTTCTGACTAAACTAATAAAAAGATATAGATTTCTTACGCTTTGTATCCTCAAAAGATGACTTAGTATCATTATTGCTTGCCATGGTTCTGGTTGTAAAGTACGGAACGAATGATTGAATTAAAGTTGAATTCAAAGATCGAACGTAAGCAGATATCTACAAAAATACAAACGTTTAACACTTTAGATTGTTCGAAGTAACGTATAGATCAATGATATTGTATGTATATATTCTGTATGCATGCATCACGTACTCTCTGCATTTATATTTGTATTTGTTCGTTGATACTAAAAAAAATTGCTAAATATTTATAACTTTCGTTGACGTTACATCACAAGACTGATTCCAATACAATGACGTTAATTTGATTTATCATATGATTATATGGACTTTATTAAAGAAGTAAATATATCAAAATAATATTGTAGTGACCGGTATAAAAAATGCGGATTTTTATTTTTTTTGATAATCCTTCTTTTTTCTATGGCACACAAAAGAACGCACTGGAAACGCTATCTGTCGGTAGTTTTGTTAACCAATCAAGAAATCATTTTGACTCGTGGCGACATCTAACGTTGAATTTTGTAACTTATAAGATCTTTGTGATAAGTCATCGATTAACACCCTGTTTGCGAATAATTGTCTCAAATTACGTTAGATAACACAATCTAATGGCACACCTTATTTCACACATTATATATTTTCTTATTTTACTTCATTCCATAATAATATGCTAAGGAATAAGAAATTTTAACATGCTTCCTTTTATTATTTTTGTATCACCCACGGAGAGCAATTCGTTTCCTCCTCCAAAAAAGTAAAGAAACCTATTATGCAATAAAAGGGTCAAATGAATGATTCTAATTTGTTTGTATTTCTTTTAATTTGATCAGTCATTTTTCGAGAGAAAAAAATCAAAGAGGAAAATTTGCGTTAGCAGTGTAAGAAAAGTTCGTGATTTTGTTCTTTACGAACCAAATCAAACTTTCTTTCCCTAATCCCAATGTTATCGTGGGCGACGTTATCAGAACAACTCGATAAGGGTAGTCACGAGAAAATGCGTGGGAGAATTCGAATGTGGGTGTGGACGGTGGTTTAAATTCTAACACGGAGAAACGTTTTAAGCATGGCGAGAATCTTGAACGTCGATTCAAAGATCGTACAAGTTATTAACGAAAAGTATTATTTCTTATTTTTTGCGTTCTTTTTTTTCTCAATCGAAGCTCGCAACTTTTCAACTAACCCTGCACGTAATGTTAGAATTATAAATATTTCGTATACATAAATAGCATTTTTTATTATTAAAAAGTATTGAAAAGAGAAAAAATGAGAGAGAAGAGAAATTGAAAATATAATAATAAATATATTTAATTAAAAAAAAAACAAATCTATATTATTCTTCTACGTTAGCCGTATAAAATTATTTCTCCTGTCATTTACTTATTCGAATAAAAAGAAAATATCGATAATATATCGACATTATATTTTAATTGGTCAATTGAATATATCCTACAAATAACTTGAATAATACGTGAAATAATAATGACAAAAGAAAAATTACGAAAAAAAAAGAGAGAGAAATAAAATCACTCGTAGAAATTTTGATTTAACCAATTCGATCGTGGTTTGTTGAAAATGCCAAAATGTCATAAGAGTCATGCAACGCGTGGGATTTTCACTGTAATGGGATAAGCTGTTACGATAAATTCATCCTATCCCGTATAAAAATACAAATCTGGTCATGATTTTCATTGAAAGGTGTGTTTCACGTGTATTATTATTATTATATATATTATACATACATAGGGGTAATTAATTGTATTTACCGATGCAGATGCATATGATAATAATATTGGGTTGGCAATTAAGTGATCTTTCCTCTTTAAAAGTAGGAATGAAAGAGAGAAAGATTTACGAAGGGATGTTTCTTTCGATAAATGAAACGAAAACAAATCAAAAAACGATGGAAAACATTGAAAAAATAAATATTGTTTTTTAATTTAATTATCAATATTCTTGTCCACAAATATGTTATTAATATATAAGTTTCAAAGGGAGTTATAGACGGTTAATAAATCTTATGAACAATTAATTTGAACTAGTTGTACGTTTCGTCCCTTACTGAGGACTTCATCAGCAACTTGATCATTTACAGTTCCCGTGTCAATACATATTATCTTTTTTACAGAGTCATA